TGTATTGACACATGGAGAACTTGATAATGGCCGAGGTTTAGCACGTCAAAAATTGTTCCGACATAAACATGAAGCTGAAACAGGACGTACTAGTTCAGTTGGAAATGATATTCTTGGATTTGATAGTGTTGGTATGGAAACAAATTTAATAAGTTAAAAATAATTATATCATTATAGAATTGTATCATTGTTATGAACATATTTTAAATTTAGGTAATGTAGTAAATAAACCAGAACATGGATCTTTAGACTGGGTTAAAATATGTGAAAAATCTTCTAAAGTTATTACATTTATTGATTTAGCTGGTCATGAAAGATATTTAAAAACAACTGTTTTTGGAATGACAGGACATGCTCCTGATTTTGGTAAAATTATTTTCATTTAATTTAGATAATAATTTTACATAATATTTATTATGTGTATATTTATTTTAAATGTACAATTTTTTAAATATTTATTTAGGTATGTTAATGGTTGGAGCAAATGCTGGCATTGTTGGAATGACAAAAGAACATTTAGGTTTGGCTTTAGCTTTGTCAGTTCCAGTATTTGTTGTAGTTACAAAAATTGATATGTGTCCACCAAATATATTACAAGAAAATTTAAGATTATTAATAAGAATCTTAAAGTCCCCAGGTTGTAGAAAAGTACCTGTTACTGTAAAAACTCCTGATGATGTTGTTGTTAGTGCTACTAATTTTGTATCAGAACGGTTAGTTTTTATCTGTCTGTATGTAATATTATGTCATTTATAGAAATATTTTAATTATTGATATATTTATGTAGATTATGTCCTATTTTTCAAGTATCAAATGTTACGGGAGAAAACTTAAACCTTCTTAAAATGTTTTTAAATTTATTAACTGCAAGAATGATTAGTCATGAAGATGAACCAGCAGAATTTCAAATAGATGATACATATTCAGTACCAGTCAGTATTTAATTTTCACAAGTGAAAAATTGTTTTAATCTTCATTCTATATGTTTTTAGGGAGTAGGTACTGTTGTTTCTGGCACAACATTAAAAGGTGTCATAAAATTAAATGATATTCTATTATTAGGACCCGATCCTTTAGGTCGATTCATTCCAATTGCAATAAAAAGTATCCATAGAAAAAGAATGCCTGTTCGAGAAGTAAGAGGTGGTCAAACTGCTAGTTTTGCATTGAAAAAGATTAAAAGATCACAAATTAGAAAAGGTATGGTAATGGTTGCACAAGCATTAAATCCACAGGCTTGTTGGGAATTTGAAGGAGAAATTCTTGTATTACATCATCCTACAACAATAAGTTCTTGTTACCAAGCTATGGGTAATTTTATCTTTTAATTGAATTTTAATTTAGAATTCATTATGTTTTAATACTTAGAATTATTTGAAATTTTTAGTACATTGTGGAAGTATAAGACAAACAGCATCTATAATTTCTATGTCACAAGATTGTTTAAGAACAGGTGATAAAGCTTTAGTACGCTTTAGATTTATAAAACATCCTGAGTATATAAAACCAGGACAAAGAATGGTATTTAGAGAAGGACGTACTAAAGCAGTGGGTAATGTAATAAAATTAATTCCATATTCTAGTACTACAGTTATACAAACATGTAGAATTTGTAAACCAAATAAAATATCTCAAAATCGACAAAATTCTTCATCCGCAATACAAGTATGTATAAAAAAATATTTATTATTTTCAAAAATTTACAAAAATGAAAATTTTAAAAATAATATATATAAATTTATTTATATTATATATAGTTATTAGATGCAACTGAAACAAATTCTTCATTTGAAGGACAAACATCAAAACAAGAAAATATACTTCAAAAATCTAATAAACGTCAAAATAAAAAAGGTAGAGGACGAAGAGGAGGACGATCTCATAATACAATAAATAGTATTATTCAACCATTATCGGAACAAAATCCTCCTATGAAATTATGAATTGTTTTGTGTTTTAAACTTTTAAATATGTATATACATAGAAACTTATATAGAATACCAATATATTTGTGAGGCATCTTTGAAGAATTGATTCTAGAAATTAAAACAAATGAAAAAATTCCTATACAAAAATCAATTGAAAGATTTTTTAAGTTATAAACAGTTGCATTAAATAAAACAGAAAAGAAGAAATGACTCTCCAAAAATGCCTCATGAATCTATATTCTATATTATTAGATTATTTTACAATTTTCGAAAATTAATATAAAATTATTTATTTTTAAACGATTCTAGTTTTCATTCTTAATAATAATTATAATTCTAAAAAATACTTTATATAAATACAAATATATTTTTTAAAATATATAAATTTTCAAGAATTGTAAAATAAATGTTTATGTATACATATATCGTGCGCGCGCACGCGTGTGAGTATGTGTGTATTATATATAAATATATTTTTATTTTAGTAATTATTTATATTAAAATATAAAATTATTTCATATAATAATGACAATTTTATCTAATTTGGGGTTATTTATATTCTTAAGAATTGTGATTTTTACTCTCAATAGAAAAGACCCCTGAATTATTAATCTAACATATATCGTGCTTTCAACCCTATTAGAGTACAAATTGTCTTTCATAGTTTTGATTAAATTAATTAAAAAATTTAAAATGTCGTTTTTAAACATATGGAAAAATATATGTTGTTATTCTTAAAATGTTTTATTTTTATAAATACATAAATGTATTTCAAATAATATTTAGCAAATATAATCTATATATTCGAAATATTCTTTGTTTTTTTTATTATTATAAACTGCCTATATTATAATTTTTAATTTCTTAAACAAATTTTAAATATATAAAAATTCATTATATTATATTAATATTTTTATTATACATAATTGTATTAATATTATAATCAACATTTTAAAAATAAAAAATTATTTATCAAATTAAATTTATAATAAAACTTCTATAAATTAAAAATACTTATTTTTATGTTGATGAATAAAATTTTTTATGGAAAGAAAATATAATTATATCTAAAGATATATTAAATATTTTATTTTTTATAAATAATCTTTTTTTTG